ATATTTGATTATTTTAAATTAATTGTGTCTAACCATAAACTTTTTTTTATTTGTACAGATCGACGATATGTCTGGGAAAAGAGATTAAGAAATCTTTTAGGGGCAACTCGACCTTCTTATGGAGATACATTTCTTGGTTCTTCGGATCCATCAGCTTCTAGCTCTGGCACTGCATCTGCCCGGGAGTTTGTCCTGGAGACCGAAGAGCAGGGTATATCATCTTATGTGCCTCCTGCTGATCAGTATGTGCCTCCGCCTCTGTTTGACATTCCTCCATACTATTCTCAGCATGATCCTCCATACGATCCTCATCATCAGGCTCCTCCACACCATCATGACTGTCATCATCATCAGCAGTATGCCCCTCCTCCAGTAGCCCCCGCAGCTGCTCCGCCTCCTGCAGCTGTCCATCCGGATTTGTTTGTTCCACCGAATGCTCCCTATGCTAGATTCACAGTGGAAGATCTTCTCCAGGTGCCGGGACGAGAAGGTTTATCCATTGTCAATCCAGATCGACCACCCAACACTTTCTGGTAACTTTTGATTTTTTTTATTATTAAAATTTTAATTATATATGTTTATTAATCAAATTAATTATATATATGTCGATCTAATGTATTTTGTTTTTAGGTTTCTAACGGACAATCGTCTGGGACGGAGCGTCTTAGAAATCATCAAGGCAAACTTCTGTGATCCGCATCTGAAGTGAAAGTTTACACCGGACTATGTTCGTAGGACTTGGTACAAAATGCTTTGCGGTAAGTTGTAATTATAAAATTTTATTTCTTAATTAAAGTAATTTATTTTTAGAATCATTTGATTATTAATTTTTTATTTTAATTATTTTTGCAGCAAAAATGGAATTGGTCTATTGCTGTCAATGAGAATGTGAAGGAGGGATTCAACGATAAGGCCAAGGATCGCCTAAAGAACATTTTGGGCGATTGGAAGGAGAAGTGGAGGGTTCTGCATGATAACGTAAAACTCATCTACATCAGCGACCAAGTTTGGAATGGCTTGAAGGCTTACTGGAATTTGCTTAAGTCAGTTAGAACTTTGATATGTTGCTCCAAGTCCCGATTGACGCGTGATGCTCAGGGTAATTTGCCATCTCCCCACACTTCTGCACAGACTCCACACGCCGGGAAAGCCCTAGAAATTGTAAGTAGAATTTTTCTAATTTTTAATTTGTTTTTAAATTATTAATAAATTTTTTATTGAATACAAGAGTTTAATTTTAAAATTTTACTATTCGGGAAGGAGCACCACCGTCTCTTTTCCGACTTTATAAGTTAACGCACCAACATTCTGATGGAACGTTTGTGGATCCTCGAGTAGAGAAGATCTAGAACGATGTTGAAGCGCGGATTCAAGAGGTCCAGACACAATTGTCGCAACAAGGCGAACCCGTCCACTTAACCACCGTCGAACATGACAAAAAATTTGAGGAGGTAAATTATTATTCAATTTTAATTATTAATTATAACTTTATATATGTACTAACTTAATTTATATTTGTTTCATTGAATGAAGGTTATCCCAAAGAAGAAGGGACAGATGATCGGGATTGGGACAGTGAACGATGTCCCGAGGGCTAAAGCTGAACATGCTGCAAGACTGCATGAAGAGTCTCAGCTCCGGGCCAATTTGACGAACACCAACCAAGTCATTTCTACCCTCCGGACGAACAACTAGACCAACACGCACCACATTAGAGTCATGGCTGAGATGTTTGATATTATTGCAGAAACAAACCCATCCCTTGCACATATGTGGCAATCTAGACGTTCGACCGTCAACCCAATCCAACTCTAGAAGAGCAGGCGAATGCGGAGCAAGGAGCCGAGGAGCATAGCTCCCAGTTTTTCAAAAACATTAACTTTAATAATTAGTTTTTTTTGTAATTTGAATATATTATGCTTTTGGATTTATTAAGTTAATGTTTTTTTAATATTTTAGAAATTGAATGATTTTATAAATTTTTAAATTAAAAATTTTAAATTATTAATTTTAAATTGTAAAATTTATAAATTTTAAATTATACCCTTGGACGTAAAGTGGTCGTAACGAGTTAAATTTTTTTAAAGTAAAGTGGTCGTAAACATTATGTCTACATTACGACTACTTACATTTTCGAGATAAACGTGGTGATTGTCTTGAGGGACCTCCGGCCCAATAGGAAAAGCCTGCTAACATGTGGCCACTAGTGGGATTTACATGGGGTGACCACCAGCCTCCTTGGATGTCTTCGGCGGGCTTCGACGGGTTCTTAGTGGCTCAGATTACCCGGACGATCATTATAGGCGCTAATCGGATCCTCTCGAGACATCCGGATACCAGGGTCATAAAAAAAATATTACGACTCATTAAATTCCCTTTAGATCTAGAAGGTGCTTCTATTTTACGAACACAGATTACGACCAATGCACATACACATATTCGGACGTAACTTTACGTCAAATCAACCTCTAAATTGTGACTACGCGCTTTACAGCTGCTTTACGACTAAATCTTTTGGTCGTACACTTCACGTCTATTTTACGACGATTTGTGAGTTACGGCGAGCTCTTAACGACCATTTGTGTTTCATCGTTATTTAGTCGTAATTAGTGATTTACAACCAAATAACTACCAAATGTGCAATCGTTATGTCCATGTTTTCTTGTAGTGGTACCGACTACTTGTGGGATCGATCGTTCTGTCAGATGGAGCACTTTCGACGTTTTTTTTTATTTGAGGATTTTTAATGTTTTCTTTTATTTTAATTGTTTTAATTTTCTCACAATATTTTAATTATTTATTATATTTTATTATTTAACTATTTTTTGTTAATTGTAATTTCGAATTTTTAACTAAAATTAAAGGTATTATTGTCTTTTTGAAAATATTTAGTCTAGTGAAACATAAAGTATATATAAATAGTTTAATGGGACATAGATACTATTTTTTGTCTAAAATTTTTTTCTCAATATTATAATCTGTTTTCGTAATCTTTGTAGTCAATTTCTGTAACTTTTGATAAACAAAACGTGATAAGGAAAGAGGTAATATTTACTGGAATCCTTTAGTGTTTAATAGTAAATTCTTTAGCAAAAAAAAAAAAAAGACTACAAAAAAAAGACTCTGTGGATGAGCAAGAAACTCGTTGAAAGTAACAAAATACTATTCACCAATGATAAAGTGGTAGGTAACGTAACGATTCCAGTAAATATTACCAGTGTGGTTACATAAAATAACATTCCAAAGACATCAAACTGTTCATTGTAAATTAACTTTACGATTCTGTTATAAATTATATTTGATATTTTCTGTGACTCAAAGTATTTGACTTTTAAGATTTTATACAACAAATAAAGAATAGTTTCATTTTTTAAGTTTCTGCTAATCATTTATTATATCTCCAAATCACCAATAGTAAAATAGTATGTATACTATAATTAGATAAAGAACAAAATTAATTAGCTTGTTATACTGATTTTTTCTGAAATAAACAAAAAAAAATGTTAATGATGCGGCCGTTAGAGATGCTGCCAAATGATTTATAAAATCATTACACCCATATAGCACTCGTACAATATGACTAATACAAATAACTATATAGTTATTGCTAGAGCCATCGACAAAATTGTTGGTTAGTGGTCCTTTTGAATACTACAATTCAATTAACATCACTAAACTGTTACAGCTATCAGGCATAACTTATATTTCTATATACACATAGATTTATATATGTATAGTTTATAATATATATATATATATATATATATATATATACCGCATTTCATTTTATGCTCCGTCTACAATAATATTTATAGAGCCTCCTTCCACATCATCTTTGTCCCCTTAATAAAATTCTTAACTTCAATCTAAACTAAAAGAAAAACACTAGCACAATGGGTTACGGTAGGCTCGGACATTCACGCTCTGCACCGAGCCAGCAAGACCCCGCCACGTCACTCACGGAGGTACAGAAGAAAACTAAGACAAAGCTAATTCTCTTTACCTTAGCAGTTCTGGTCGTTGCAGTGGTCTGCTTCGGTATCTTTGCCGGCATCCGATCCATAGGTTCGGATCGACACGAGCCGAAACTAAACCGTAAACCGACCCAGGAAATCTCCCGAACCTGTAGCAAAGCACACTACACGAGCCTCTGCATCGACACGCTTCTTGATTTCCCGGGATCTTCAACCGCCGACGAGCAAAAGCTCCTCCACATCTCTTTCAACGCGACGCTCCAGAGTTTCAGCAAAGCGCTCTATTCATCGTCGAGGATCTCGTACACTCAGATGCCGCCACGTGTACGTTCTGCTTACGACTCTTGCCTGGAACTGCTCGACGACTCGGTCGACGCGCTCTCACGTGCTCTCTCCTCCGTCGTCATCTCCTCCTCCGGTAACGATGAGTCTCACTCCGATGTGATGACGTGGCTTAGCTCTGCGATGAGTAACCACGACACTTGTACGGACGGGTTTGAAGATGTTGGGAACGGAGAAGTGAAGGATCGAGTGGTCGGAGCGGTGAAGGGTTTGTCGGAGATGGTGAGTAACTGCTTGGCGTTATTCTCCGGCAACGTGAATGATTTAAACGGAGTTCCGGTGGTGAACAGAAAGTTACTTGGCGCACAAGAAACAGAGGAGTTTCCGAGTTGGATAAAGAGAGGAGACAGAGAGCTTCTAGGAACTCCGGCGACGACGTTTCAAGCGGATATCACGGTGTCTAAAGACGGTAACGGCACGGTGAAGACAATCGCAGAGGCGATCAAGAAAGCGCCGGAGCATAGTAACCGTCGATTCGTCATCTACGTCAAGTCAGGAAGGTACGAAGAAGATAATCTCAAAGTTGGTCGGAAAAAAACAAACTTAATGTTCATCGGAGACGGCAAGGGTAAAACGGTCATAACCGGTGGAAAAAGCATCGGCGATGACCTCACCACTTTTCACACCGCCACTTTCGGTAACAAAAGATCATAATTTTAGTTCATTTTTTTTGGTTGTAGTTAGTTATTTATGTCATTATTTGATTGATAATGTAGCCGCGACGGGAGCTGGTTTTATAGTGAGAGACATAACGTTTGAGAACTACGCTGGACCAGCTAAGCACCAGGCGGTGGCACTCCGTGTCGGCGCAGACCACGCGGTGGTTTACCGTTGCAGCATTATCGGTTACCAAGACACTCTCTACGTACATTCAAACCGACAATTTTTCCGTGAATGCGATATTTATGGAACAGTCGATTTTATATTCGGAAATGCAGCTGTGGTCTTACAGAGTTGTAACATCTACGCGCGTAAGCCAATGCCTCAGCAGAAAATCACTATCACGGCTCAGAACCGGAAAGATCCGAACCAGAACACAGGAATATCGATCCAGGCTTGTAAGTTACTAGCCACGGCGGATCTTGAAGCCTCTAAAGGTAGTTATCCGACGTATCTCGGACGGCCGTGGAAGTTGTACTCTAGAGTTGTGTACATGATGACGGATATGGGAGATCATGTTAACCCAAGAGGATGGTTGGAGTGGAACGGTCCGTTTGCATTGGACAGTTTGTATTATGGGGAGTATATGAACCGAGGGGCGGGATCAGGTACGGGTCAACGAGTCAAGTGGCCCGGTTATCATGTTATTACTTCAACGGTTGAGGCAACCAAGTTTACGGTGGCTCAGTTCATTTTCGGTTCATCGTGGTTGCCTTTAACGGGCGTGGCCTTCTTTTCTGGGTTATCAGAGTAGGATCGGATCTCTCACTATCAGCTTTGTATGTACCCATTACACGAAAGATTTTTATATACGAAACTCAAGTGTAATTATATGACTGGGACATCTTCTTGAATGAAATAAAGATTATGACTTGAATATTATTGCGACTCGTTGCTTAAATGAAACATATATTTACAGAGGACCTTGGATTGAGATAGAGTAACAGAAAGATTGGGTCATTGCATAAAAGTTACATCATCATTAATCAATGTGGAAACTGTGCATTGCATCCATGTGTTCTTTTAAACTCCTACACCAACGTTGTTTCTTTCTTTCTTTCATTTATGTACAAAGACGATAAGATGGATGGAGTAACCCAAACATACCTACCCAAGAAGCATGTTTCAAGGTTTCCAAACTAGTACGAGGAAGATGCTTTTTAGTTTCAACCTTCTTTGTTATCTTGTCGACTTCATCGATGTAAACAATCCCTGCGGTGCAGCTGCAACATTATAATCTGCAACCTGGAGAGATATCCAAACCACACATTCCAAACAATATAAAGAACACTAATTATAGTAGTATACAAATAGAAAGGTTTGTGTTCTAGAAGCTTACAGTGAGAAGTTTGTGTATATATAGACTCGACGTCCTCTCCCACATAACCAGCCTGACAAGTTATTTCATTTCGGAACAAAATGAATGTCACAGATCGGTCATCACGACAAGGACATGCGGTGAAAAAGAGTAGACGAAAGACGAGAATTGCCTGAGTCAGTGTAGTTGCATCCGCAATGACAAAAGGTACATTCACAAACCGTGCCAAGGTTTTTGCAAGTAGTGTCTTCCATGTGCTTGTAGAAAAACACCAAAACAGATAAGGTGCACAGCTGAGTTTGAAGTTTCACAACCATGCTATATTGAAATGATAACTATATTATACCAGCGTAAAAGGTGTGTGAATTTTTGCAGATTGGGGTCAGAAAATTACCTGACCCAGTTGGTCTCATCAGTAGAATGTTACTCTTCTCCAACTCTACCATATCATCATCAGCTGGTTCGCTGCAGTGCTATCGGTTTCTGCCCCCGTGGACCTAGCTTCCCAACAAGTTTAAGCATCATAACTAACGCATTACTTACAGAATACGTGGAAACACAAAGAGACGAACAAATGAAAGTGTATGTGCCTGCAAAACTATGATATTTCCAGGTAAAGGAAATCCATACTGACATAATTTACCAAATTAAAAGATATGTTTATCTAATATCTGACGCTTAGATGATCTATTAAAAGGTATATTACTTTCTACACAACAAGGAAACCTATCAAAAACTCTGCATCAAGTAAACATAACAGCCTAAACTACACAACAAGGAAACCTATCAAAAACTCTGCATCAGGTAAACATAAGAGCCTAAACTGACCGTTTTTGTAAAGATTCATAATATATTCTCTTGTAGTGATTGTAAACTGCCACCCAAAGCACCTGCATCCACAAGATGACACAGAATGCGTTAAAATAACATAAAATATTTCCATGACTAAACCAAATAGAACCATACAATATTCAACTGTGAGCAGAAGTATGGAAAGTAATAATGAGGTAGTGTTGTACATTGGAGATAGTGCACACCTAAATATCCAGCATCAGATAGCAAATAGATTGTATTCTTTGTTTCTGAAAATGTTACTCTCTCATTACAACTCAACTTCAAACTAATATTTGAATAGGCAGCTGTGGTTATAAATTTGAGATTAGCAGCATTCAAAGCCTTAAGCACCACATAATTGTTGAGCCACAAATGATCATCCACAAGGAAAGCAATATATAACCGAATCATGAGCAAATCAGAAGTTTGGAAATCATAATTGAGCTACTCTTAATCATCAACAAAACCAAACAGAAACATGCAAATGCAAGAGTCAGAGAGAAAAAAAATAACAAGGGGAAGCTTGGTGGTGTACACTGTACCGGATGCAGTAAGGAATTAACATTGGATTATTGGAGACAGTGGAACCAAACCTGAAACCTAAAAAAGACATCATCAAAATGCAGTCTTGTTTTTTTCTGTTTGAAAAGATAAAATGTAGTTTCTTATTACAGTCCACCTACACTAAGCGCTCCACGGAAATGTTAAGCTACCACAGAACCGAATCATTAGCAAACCAAATGTTATGAAAACTGGAACTTAGATATCTCTATTCTCATGAAGTATCTATTGTATTGAGATAAGTAAAAGAAGAGTCATATCAGAACAAATACAAACAACATCATCAGCGTATCACCAATTTAACCATTTTGGCTTTCTCCTGACAAATCACGAACTTGTCCAAACTAGAACCTTTTTGGTTTTCCTTTGGTGTGGGAAAACTAGAACCTAGATTGGATCCACCCCCAACAATCATCTTTCGAATATGGTAATGTAGATTTTTGTATTGAATTGTCGAATGTGGATATAAAATTCAAGTAATTATTTGGTTTGGGTATAAAATCTCATTTACGTGTATTTTAATCTGAAAAAGCATTATCGAAATTGTTAAAGTCAAAAATGCGTTTTCCCCTGTAAAATCATAGTCTATTCAAAATTTTGCTCTTTTTTTTTTTGTCTAGGAAAAAATTAGGAAAAAAGTTTCTCAGCTACACGAAGTTTACACTAATATGGTGGAAACCATCCAATGTATAAAAATGTGTCAAGAACTACACGAAGTATATGTTAATACATGCCACATGTACGAAGTAAATGATATTATAGTGACAACATCACAATCGGATTTAATTGTTCTTAAGCTAAGTTAATGGGGTCAATCCGTAATTTATGAAACTTAATTGATTTTAATTAGTAAATTTAATAAAATTAATAAACTTAATAAACTTAATATTTTTTTGTTAAACTTAATAAATTATTAAACTTAATAAAATTATTAAACTTCATAAACTTAATAAACTTAACAAAATTAATAACTTATAAACTTAATAAGTTATTAAACTTAATATACTTAGCAAACTTAATAAACATAATAATTTAATAAATTTATTAAATTATTAAACTTATTAAACTTAATAAATTTATTAAATTATTTTGTTTATTAGTTTTAGGATTCTAGCTTAGTAAACATAATAATTTTTAAAAACTTAATAAACTTTATAAACTTAATAAGATTTATTAAACTTAATAAGATGTATTAAACTTAATAAAACATTAAGTTTATTAAGTTTGTTAAGTATATTAAGTTTAATAACTTATTAAGTTTATAAGTTATTAAGTTTGTTAAGTTTATTAAGTTTATGAAGTTTAATAATTTTATTAAGTTTAATAAATTTATTAAGTGTAATAAATTTATTAAGTTTAACAAAAAATATTTAGTTTATTAAGTTCATTAATTTTATTAAGTTTTAAAAAATATTATGTTTATTAAGTTTATTAATTTTATGAATTTTATTAACTTTAATAATTAAAATCAATTAAGTTTATTAAGTTTCATAAATTACGGATTGACCCCATTAACTTAGCTTAAAAACAATTAAATCCGATTGTGATGTTGCCACCATAATATCATTTACTTCGTACATATGGCATGTATTAACATATGTTTCGTGTAGTTCTTGACACAATTTTATACATTGAATGGTTTCCACCATATTAATGTAAATATTAATGTAAACTTCGTGTAGCTGAGAAACATTTTTCCAAAAAATTAACTAACTTTATTAATGGAAAAAAGATAATTAATAGAGAAAAAGATATGGAGGGGTTTAATGGTTGAAAATATATTAATACTGATTCATGCATATGCAGGAAAAATCATCTTTAGAGTATCCCCTCCCCTACGATCAAACAACACTAGATAGGTTTGGTTTGGTAATTGAATAATTTTTAATCAAAAGAGATCACTGCCCAACGGATCCAGAATCATAGAGAGAGCCTAGCTACTAGCCCCGCCGAATCGTGTCACAGCAGATCCAATCTCCATTTTCGATTATCTGGAGAGTTTGAATAGTAAATTGAAGATCGAAAGTTATAGCGATCTGAGTTTTGGAGATCTGTTTCCGATGGCGAGGAAAGGGAGATTAACGGGCTCGAGAGTATCTTCCCTTGTGCTCTCAATGTTCGCTACTTTCGCTTCCTTCTACGTAGCAGGCCGGTTCGTTACTTCTTCATCTTCCATTTTGACTCCTATCCTTTCATCTGATTCTTATAAATTTTGTTAGTTTATGGCAAGAATCACAAACTAGGGTTCATCTTATCAACGAGCTCCACCGAGTCACCGGACAGGTAATGTGATTGTTTCAGTTTGTGATCCTTGTCTCTTTGCTTTGGTGTATAATGTTACCTTGAATGCTTGCAGGGAAAATCTGCCATCTCAGTGGATGATACTTTGAAGATCATAGCTTGCAGGTAAGTACTGTATGCTGCTTGCTTTTATACGATTTTTGATTAGTCTCCAAGGACTGTTTTTGAAAAATAGACTTTTTCTTTCTTTCTTTTGTAGGGAACAGAAGAAGACACTATCAGCTCTTGAGATTCAACTAAGTGCAGCAAGGCAAGAAGGTTTTGTTACAAAGCGTACTACTACTGATGGAACCGAAACCAAGAAAAGACCACTAGTGGTTATCGGTATCATGACATCTTTGGGTAACAAGAAGAAAAGAGATGCTGTTCGGCAAGCTTGGATGGGAACAGGTAACCTTTCTCCATATCCATGTTCTGTTTTTATAGTGGTTTAGTGAGATTGTGTAGGAATATTCTATTTTCTTACTAGACACACTTGGTATTGGGAGCTTAACAGGTCCTTTCTTTTATTGCAGGTGCATCATTAAAGAAAATTGAAACTGAAAAGGGTGTGATTGCTCGATTTGTTATTGGAAGAAGGTTTGGATTCGGTTTACCACTCTTTGATTTTTCCTATGCCTGTTGTAATGATGATCAGATGGTACTGGAATCTTGTTTTGAAACGTTGTTTTTTTGTGCTGTGTAGCGCAAATAGAGGAGACAGCATGGACAAGAGCATTGATGCTGAAAACAGTCAAACCGATGACTTCATTATTCTTGTATGTGATTTCAGACTCGTTCAAGATTGTTACCTCGAGTATTCATTTTTTTGCAAGTCTGAGGAGCTTGCTCATTTAATGTTTTTCAGGATAATGTAGTTGAGGCTCCCGAAGAAGTTTCTAAGAAGGTTAAATTGTTCTTTGCCTATGCTGCCGATAGGTGGGATGCACAGTTTTATGCAAAGGCCAACGACAATATCTACGTAAATATTGGTAAGTTAGTAAGAGAAAAGAGATTGTTTTACAGCTAAGAAAACCTTTGGTTGTTTGTGTTTCTTGAGTTGATTGTAAATGGGAAATGTAGTTGATTGTGAATGTCATTCTTCAAACATCACTTAAAATTGTTTTTAGGCTGTGCAATACAGAGCTCAATGTTGTTGCACATTTATCATTGTCAGTTTAAGGTCTTTAGTCCTCCATCCTTTTGTGAAAGTTTTAAGGTCAAAGAGTTTCTATGAAAGCATTGGTGAGACTATAATCTGGTAATGTAATTGATGACCTGGTGCAGATGCACTCGGAAGTACACTTGCAGCACATTTAGGGAACCCGCGGGCTTACATCGGTTGCATGAAATCAGGCGAAGTTTTCTCAGAACCGTGAGTTGGAGCTTAAAATTCAAACACTACTGGAACCAGTAAGATGTTTGATATATTATGTCTCAAATTAAAATTTGGCTTTTCTGGCAGGAACCAAAAATGGTATGAACCAGAATGGTGGAAATTCGGTGACAAGAAAGCGTAAGTTAACAATGAGAGATCAGATAATAGTAACCCTCTCAGTTCCAATCCATTAGATTAGTTTTCTTCTATGTGGCGAAGAATCACATGTTCTTGCTTTATGTATCTCACAGATACTTCCGGCATGCTTACGGGGAGATGTACGTTATAACTCATGCATTGGCTAGATTTGTATCGATCAATAGGTCAGTTTCTGACTCTGAACTGCACCCAGCTGCGCATAATATTTTTACGTACTCACAAACAGGAATTAAAACTAAATTATTTGTGTGTTGTTTGTTTTGTATGATGATGATGGGATGGGTGACAGAGACATACTTCATTCGTATGCGCATGATGACGTCAGCACGGGCTCATGGTTCGTGGGACTTGATGTGAAACATGTAGATGAAGGAAAGTTTTGCTGTTCCGCTTGGTCCTCAGGTATTCTGACCTATCATCTTCCTCTACTGAACATTTACATGTATACATATTGTTTGACATATATCTAATTTATTCCATACTTGTCAGAAGCTATATGTGCAGGAGTGTAGTAGGACCAAATTTACAGAGAAGAACACAAGTGTTTGGCTTTGCGGCTTATAGAGAAGCTCACAACATATTTGTCTGAAAAAGGCTAATTACACCATTTAGTGCTTATGTAACTTTAAACTTTATCATCTTATAACTACATCCTTACCCTTTTGTGGGCGGCATGAGGCATTGTATTATGCTATAAAGACTAAAGTGTAGGGTTTTGGATGTGAGCGGTTTTACTTACCAAAAGTTTGGCTAGTTTTTTCATATCAAATCTATAAAAATCTTATAATACGATATTTTGATAATGTCACCAACTCACCATAGAAATTAGTAATTCATGACCCCTTAGACCACAATACTTCCTACATAACAAAGTTCGTCTATACTGCATCTGTATGAGTGTTACACTGTTACCATTCAGGTCAGAGATGTCTCATGACTCGGAATCGCTAGATTTAATATGGTGCAGGCAGCAAGAGGAGTAGATCATACCCACTAACAAAGCCAAGGCAAGCAAGTTCATGGGAACATAAAATCCTTTAAATGAGTTACGCAATGCGAAAGAATATGGCTGCATCTCTGGAGAAGGAATGGGCACACAAATGCATTCGCTACCCCGACATGCATTTTGCCTTTCGTGCACCAGAGACCAGAGACACTAGAAAATCAGAGGCGGCTAACCGGGTTAGGTGGGTGTACACATTTGGAGAGGTGTTTGATGATTTGTACCATGTACTCAGGTAGAGATACTGCAGGTTGATATGGTTTGCACGGCCAGATTACCAGAACAGAGACTAAACATGATATAGGTAGTGATGGTGGAAGAGATCATACCTATCTAGCCACGGATAAAGATGTCAACTCCAATCGGAAGAGTATCAGGATCGCCGTATATATTGTGAGAAAGATTATTCATCTTTCTTTTTATGCATTTGACGATTCAGAAAAGAGTTTAAATATTTGAGTTCAGTCTATGATGTCAATAATCTGTCACTTTCTAGCAAGACCAGATAAGGAACTCAATTCATACATAAATTTTGTAGAAAATACACTTTTGTCAATATAAAAAAAGGGTTACACAATTCGTGTCTGAGGAAAAAACAAGATGAAACAGAATATAATAAACAACATTACCGCCCTGACTTGAGCTTTTAGTAGCCAAAACGAAAGAATCCATTCACATTTCTAGAGTGCTCCCTCCAAAGTTTATGTAACAGCGAGGAAAATTGAGACGCAGTCACTTCCACTTAAACCTGGTCTTGATACCCCCTGAAAAGCAAATAGTATTTACTTGATGAGCCAAGAAAAACAAGCACAAGATAAGATGGATCCAAAATGGGTTTTTGTTTCAGAATTTAATTAAATTCAAACCTTCAGCTTCCTCAAAAGAAACTTCCTTAACTAACGAAGCAGAAGCATTGTACTCAAACCTGGAATGAAGACAAGGGGAAACCATTATTACAACATGTCGATGTAGCTGTAAGCATTTATATTTATCTTACCTGTTGGAGAGAAGAACTTCGAGTTCATAGTCAGAAGCACTTTTAGTAACATCGACCATGACCTGAACAAGTTCAGTCTTGCGAGTGCTGGCCATGAGCAGATCATACTCAGTGGGGATAATGACAGCGAAGAAGTTATCGCTCAACTTGCTCAAACACACCTTCTCCACCGCTGCCAAACCTATCCTCCGTGTCATAGCTTCCGTCTCAGGATCAATCAGGTATATTGCAAAGTCCGTTAGGATAAAGATTCGCCTCTTCATCTTCCCTGATCCTGTGAACTTCAATACCTTATCAGCGAACCGTATCGACGTGTCACCTACAGACGATTAACATCAATACAAAGAAAGAGACACTGATTGATCATAGAGATTCGATCATGAGAAAGATCGATCAAAACCTTGTTTCTCGAGAATCTTCATTAACTCAGGACGAGAGGAGACGTGGAGATAATCGCCACGGTGCTCTCTATAACGAGAGGCTTTCCTCCTTATTTTACCTCCCGCGAAAGGTCCCGGAGTTCCTCCTCCATCTTCCTCCCCCAGGCCATCAGGTGGCGGAGACTCTTCGCCGTCGTAAATTGGCCGTCTTCGATCCTTGAACCGGTCCATTTCTCGATGACTCGGAATCGGTTTGATTCGTTCTCAGATTCGTCAAGTGGGAAAGATAGAGAGAGAGAAGACGTGGCTTCTAATGATTCGTTTAATCCAAAATTTGGATCTCAGCCGTTTAGCGTCTAATGATTCATCTAATCGAAAATTAATAAATCTCATCCGTTAGATTAATAAACAACTTTCAAAGAACGTACGTCGCTTTAGCCTATTCGAGAGAATACTAAACCAAATTACTCTACTAAAACGGCGTCGTTTAAAGGGCCACTTGATGGTGGTTTAATTATAAAAACCGGCGCGCCGTTTGGTCCACCGAATATATGAAGATCTGTTTTAAAGGAGAGTTCCACTAGTGTAGCGTACTCTACTAATCGTGGTCGCGACCACAGAGAATCATATACTTCTTCATCTTTTTCGTCCACCACCATTTCTCTCCTCTCTTAAATTACGAGAAGAGAAAAAGGCGAAAAGCTCGCCGATCGGAGACACGCGAAACCAAAGGTAATGTGTTCTTCATCTACTCTTCTGGTTTAAGCTTTGGATCTATTGGGTAATATAGTTCTTATTGGAATCTTTTGTTTTGTTTGGATTAGAGATCGTAGGTTTTGGATATGGCGTCGAAGCGGATCTTGAAGGAACTCAAGGATCTGCAGAAGGATCCACCCACGTCATGTAGCGCAGGTGTTTATCTCTCTTTGTTTAGATCTTTGAGTTTTGGTGTTGATGGATACGACTTTTGATCATTCTAGTGCTTGTGTTATTGTGTTTTGGTTTAGATCTATAGCAAAGTAATTGAATTTGCCTAGGAATTGATTTAAAACTTTTTTGAAGCTGACCTCTCTGTTACAAACACCTTGTGCTGTCTGAAATTGAGTTTTTTTTTTTGGGTTTGGTTTTGACAGGACCTGTTGCTGAAGACATGTTTCATTGGCAGGCAACGATAATGGGTCCTTCAGACAGTCCTTATGCTGGTGGTGTTTTCCTTGTTACCATTCACTTCCCTCCAGATTACCCTTTCAAACCTCCTAAGGTTATTTCATTTTTTATTTATTTATTTATGTCGGTTTTACTAAATCTTGTATCATTCTCTGGTTGCTTTGTTATCTCATTGTTTCTTTTCCTTGGGTGTGATGAAATCTCTAGGTTGCCTTTAGGACGAAGGTTTTCCATCCCAACATTAATAGCAATGGAAGCATTTGCCTCGATATCTTGAAGGAGCAATGGAGTCCTGCACTCACCATTTCCAAGGTGCACCTCTTCTTTCTCTCCATATGCTTCTACTTTTGCTAAACATGCTTTTGCCTGATTCTCATTTCAATGTGATAACACTCACTGTTTATTAAATGATTTAAGCTTTTTACCATGAAAATGGGTTTCTTTCAATTATCTATTGCTCCTCTTTTCTCTCTATAAATGATGATACCATTGAGCTTTCTCTTTATTCATTAAGCATTGAAGATGGTTTAACTATCTCTTCCTCATACCCGTTTCCTCAGCTTTATATTCATTCAGGATGCAGTTCGCGTTGTTGTTTCTGTTTCTAACTACAACTTTTGCAAATGGACAGGTCCTGTTATCGATCTGTTCTTTGTTAACCGATCCAAACCCGGATGATCCTTTGGTGCCTGAGATAGCTCATATGTACAAAACCGACAAGGTTAAGTATGAGTCCACTGCACGGAGCTGGACTCAGAAGTATGCCATGGGCTGAAAGGAAGATTCCAAATCTCCTATATTATCTTCTTTTGTGGAAAGAAACATCTGCCACAATTTCTATGTATGATTCAATAGACATATCTCTTTCTGGATTTCTGAAGACGGGACCAAATGAAGTGGCTCTTGTTTGTTCAAAACAAAACATCATCTTTGTGAAACTGAAAATCTTTCTGGTGTTTGGTCTTGTGGTGGAATTATGATTTGATGTTTTGTGTATGAGATGAGCTCACCAATTATTCAATTAATGCGATTGCAATGCGCTTCAATTCTACTATGAGCCGATAATACGAGATTTAAGGTGTGTTGTGGGTTGTCAAATGATTTACGTTTTAAGTTGCGTGGGAGTTAAGTTTCTGCACCTATTGATCCAATTCTTCTCTTCTGTATATCGTTTTGGTCCAATTCGTTTTGAAAGAAGAGGAGGGTTTTCACTTTATGTTTTCATTTGGTTTAGTTCAAAATTTAGTAATACCTTGTGTCTGAATTCATGCATCAGTTTAAGTTTATCCCAAATCAAGACTTAAATATCTTGAGGTTGGTACAAAAAGACATTCTCGAGTCATTACCTTCTGAAAATACTTCACAAGGATATCAAAAATGTCTTCAAACATGTTTTATATACTTGTAATCCCTGTGGGGCATAATAAACCTATACATTCATGAATCGTTAATGTTCAGCTCTCACCCTCTCGGGATGATCAAGCCACAACCTAGCATAAACTACTTTCAAATGACGGAGTTCATAAAATTATAACCTAGGCATCAGTCCAAACCGTTGAACTAATCTACAAAACTATTCACATGTGCTTTAAGGAAACCGTTAGAAAATTCGAAGACGACGAAACGCTTAAAAGTACAATGCCTTAAAAAAGACTTCTAAACAAGATCAAAGAAAGAAACTATCTTCATAGAAGATCTTAGACCAGTGCTGCTAAACGGAATGATCTTATCAACGTCCATGAATAGCCGTATATACTTCTTACTCAATGCTGATCGATGATGATCTTAAACGATTCTCATCACAAGATGAAGGTCATTAATAACTAAAAGGGTCATACACAATAAGTTTTGTCAGCCAAGATGGATCGGCAGTTGAGGACGTGGTCGGATGGTGAGGAAATGGATCAGATGAGTATGGACCGGACAAGTTGCTTGATCAAGAAATAGAACATGGTCAGGAAATGAGACATGGTCGGAAAATGGAAATGGCAGCTGGCTGGGAAATTCGACATGGTCAAGAGATGATTAGAGATTGAGGATGATGATGAAATGGACCAAAGAATGCACTTTACTCGACCAAAAGGACACAAGGAACAATATGGTTTAGTCATAAACCCATTGGGTCAAGACTAGGAAGAAGATGGACGAGGTGTGGCCTCTACGGCCTGGGCCTAAGAAGAACCCAGCAAACATTCACTCGTCTTTTCACCTTAGCCAATGACTTGGTCGAACACCAAGGCTATCACGAAGGATTTAAGAGTTTTGGTTCAAGTCGTGCAAGAAGTGGAAAGCAAGAATGACAGTTTAGAAAAAGAGTCCACCATATGATCTAACTTCTCGATTTACAGCCTTAATGAGTAAATCAAGTGTCCTTAGGATTAGCAAAAAGTAAACTATTAGAATTAATTTTCGTACTTAGAATAAGATTAGGGTTTTGCCAAGTCAACATCTTATATAATAAAACTAGGATCAGCCCGCCCTACGGGCGGGAAGTTAAAATAAAAACTATTTTTATGAATTTATATTAATTTATAAAATATTTAAAATCATTATAGAAAATAATATTGTAGAAAAATAAATAATTAAGAAAACTCTGAAAGCATATTATTATTTTTAATAAATATTTTTTGGTTTGAATTAAAATGACAGCAACTTTAATTGTTTTCTATTTTTATAGAATACAAAATTAGCAAAAGCAATTCAGAAAATGTAATAATATAACTATTATTATTTCTATTTAAATTTTTAACATAATTTAAACAAAAATTTTAAATAAAAGAAAATTTTAGTTTTACAATAATTTTACACAAATTATTTCTTTCATGATAATAAATTAGGCTACCTCCAAACTAAGTTATTTACAATATAACTAATAAAATATTAAATCTCAATTTTAAAACAGTACATAAATAGTATAATAATATCATAAATAAAAAATAAAAATAGTTTTTAATTTAAGAGGAAAATGATGTTTCCGAATATGTGTTTCAGTTCATAATTATATTTGGAATGAAACATATTCGAATCCATGTCTAAATGAGGAATAAAAAAAATTGAAAACATAATTTTTGATAACTCAGAGTTTAAACACCAACATGCATTAAGAAACTATAATGAACATGAGTTAGATTACCGGCATCACCAGAGCAAGGAGATGCATATCAGCAGCCAATAGCTTGCCACCGCGTTTCAAGCTTCTTAAAACCTGAGAAGGCGGTTTTCCGCGGTGGGAGAAAAAAGACCGCTTTCAAATCGGAGAGTATGACAGATGTGTAAGATGGTGAGGATGATCTTTATGGGATGGAGACTTGCCTTTATATAGGTTAAGTTCCACCGCCTGGAAGAGAAATAAGGAGAATTGAATGTCAAATCATGGTTTGCATGGGTCAAGGAGTAAAGAAGGTTGTTAACTGCGATGGAGCATTTAATCATGTAACGATTCAAGGGAGATGAACTGCAAACGAAACGACAGGAATGGAGATCGGTACATAGATTCCAGAACCTCTTTTGTGGTTTGCCATATTCTGTGTTCGAGAATATGAGGAACCCTAATCTTCAATCGTCATCGAAGAAGAAGAAGGTCATTTAAAATCAGCCGTTTCGCGTATGTGGGTTTTTTCAAGCCCAAAAGTTTAAGGCTGTTAACATAATAAAAGAAAACAATAATGAAGTCCATTAGTACGAAAAGGAACAAAACGCAGAGAATAAATAACATGACACGTGTCGCGCTGAGGAAGACCTAATTACTTACATATAAAAATATTTTTAAGTTGGAGTGAAATTATGACAAAAATATTTAGTCGGTTCTTTTTTAAATTACTCTCACTATTTTAGTTAGTTTACCACTAAAATATTCATGAATATATAACTATTTTATTTTTAATATTTTTTTACTCTGACTTTGCTAATAAATCAAATTAATTTTTAAAAATGTTAGTTGGTTATGTTCAGTACAGAAAACATGGATTTATTTTTGTATGTTTTACTTTTGCATTTAGTTGCACTCTTTTGTCATACATTTTCTCTTAAAATTACTAATTTAAAAGATATGAAAATTGATTAAATAAATATTCACATTAATTTAGATATATTTCATGAAAAGTTAAGATTAATTGTTACTATTTCTAATTATAAATATTTGCTTGAATCTTGAATATGTCATTAAACACCAAAAATTGAGATTTCAGCTTGAAAAACAAAGATAAATAAATAAATGGTGGGATTCACTTGTAACCTTGGGCTACATATAGTTAATACCAAAATCTATATATATTTAGAGATGTTAGGTTAAATCTTTTTTTTTTTTTTGGTTTTAGGTTTAATCCATTTCTTAAATACGTATTGCTAGCTAGATTGAAAAGATCAGTAAGCCCAACATTCGTTTTGGACAAATTCCAGATAAGTAGGCTAATTTGATTAGTGTACTCATTATTAAACTTGTAATTTTTTTGTGCCAAAGAGAAATGTCTCTGATTAATTGGGCTAGCACTCTCCCATAGATATATAAGTGGTGGAGAAGTTAACGTATTGGTAAGGTATTCATTTGTTTGAGAGTATCCAAAATGCATAACAAATGAATATTTATTTTATATTCAAAAATCATACATACAGATATTAACTTTTTATGTTTAAAATAAATTTAACTTTTGGTAAAAATAAAAATGAAGAACGTGAAAGAGTATAATGATGAAAGGTTATGCAGAAACCTTTCCCACTTTCCATCTATATTCTCTTCTCTCAATCCTCTTCACCATCACCAATGGTTTCTCTTTATCCTTTACCGTTTTTTTCCTCCTCTTTTTCTCTATCTATTCTCAGCTTGTTATGATCATTCATCCAATTCTTCCTTCTTTTGTTCAAACACTTTCTCTCTTTCTCCAAGTTCCTTCTAACTTGAAGTTTTCTCTTTTGCTTTTCACGGTCTAGAATCCTTTTTTCTCCTGCAGCTCCAAAGATTGATTCCTTACAGATTACACCATCAACTCCATCATCTTTTTGTTTTCTTTTCACTGAAGCGAGAAGTCTAGAATCCTAGAAGCGGTCTCTGTCACCTGACTCAAGAACCGGTCTACTAAATCCTCATCCAACATCACACTAATTTCAGTCCCAACAAACAAAAACAATAACTAAGAAATCAAGAGAGACCAAACACTATGGCCCTAAGAGTAAGAGACTGATGTTCATGATCTTCGGTTGGCAAAAGCACTGGATCCTGCTCCGGTGTTACTCTTGGAGGTGACAACTCCGGTTTCATGGTGATCTTGATACTAACGTTCTCTGTTAAAACGAAGCAAAGAAAAAAATCAAAACTTTAAAGCTGTGACCAAGGAAGAAGAAGAGGTCTGATGAAAAAGAGCTTTCTTTAGCGATACTAAGAGAGAAGAGGAAAAGGTAATCAACAAAACTAATTCAAGTTAAAAATGCTGAAATAAGTTGAAACTACAATGATCATGAGTTTAAAGAACAGAAGAACTTTACATCAAGAAAACACCAATCAACTGGCCACAGTCATGTTTCTCGCCTCCTAGACTTGAGAACTCGTAACTCAACGGTGAAAGAACAACGATGAGCAATTAGATCAGCAAGAGTAACAGATTAGCTAGCCATTAGATTGCAATTAACTTTTTGGAATATCAGGAACTGTAAAGATGATTTCCAAGGATGAAGGCTTACCTTTTTATAATAGGAAAAACACCGTCTTTAGCATTGAATGTCATATCCAGATTGATGTGCGTCGATGGAGTAGAGAAGCTTTTTAAAGGCGATGAATCTAGA